GAATAAATTAGAATCTATTACCTACATTTATAGAAGACCTTGACTGGATATTTGTAAGCTAGGTTTAAAAAAATTCCCTTCCTGGTCTCCCTCTGCCTGTGTCTCTGTCTCTCTCTGTGTGACTATCATGAATAAATAAATAAAATCTTTAAAAAAAAAAAAAAAAAAAAAAGGGGATCCCTGGGTGGCGCAGCGGTTTGGCGCCTGCCTTTGGCCCAGGGCGCGATCCTGGAGACCTGGGATCGAGTCCCACGTCGGGCTCCCGGTGCATGGAGCCTGCTTCTCCCTCTGCCTGTGTCTCTGTCTCTCTCTGTGTGACTATCATGAATAAATAAATAAAATCTTTTAAAAAAAAAAAATTCCCTTCCTGGGATGCCTGGGCAGCTTAGTGGTTTGGTGCTTGCCTTCAGCCCAGGGTGTGATCCTGGAGTCCTGGGATGGAGTCCCACGTTGGGCTCCCTGCATGGAGCCTGCTTCTGCCTGTGTCTCTGCCTTTCTCTCTCTCTGGGTCTCTCATAAATAAATAAATAAATAAAATCTTTAAAAAAAAAAAATTCCCTTCCTCTATAGTTTAAAAACTAAAAAAAAAAAAAAAAAAAAAACTACTCTGGTCCAGTCATTTTATTTCTAGTAACCTATGCCAAGGAAAGTATATTTGCTCAATGATTTACATACAGTGACATTTATAAGAGCATTACAAAGCTGCAAGTAACCCAAATATTTCATACCGGATTGGTTAGGCATATTCCTGTTCAACCCTAAGCCACATTCATCCAAGATGCTCAGGCCAAAATCCTAGGACTGACTGTGAGCTGCTTTCTCTCCATCACCCCTCACAACCAACTCATTCATTCTGTCCAGTTGGCTTGGCCTTCATATGCATCCTAAAGCCCTTCGTTTCTTTCTGCCTTCACCACTACTGCCTAACCCAAGCCATGGTCCACTCTCCTCATCTATACTGGTTTTACTGGCACTGCTCTTGCTTAACTGGAGTCAATTCACACCACATCCCAAAGGTTAACTTTTAGAAAGTAAATCCATTCATGTCAGTATCCTATTTAAAACCTTGTAATAGCTTTCAAGTGCCCTTAGGATAATATTCATTTCTTATTTTCCAAATTGTGTACAAGACAGGACTCCAATCCAGGCTAGAAAAAGCTCCTTTCAAAAACTGGGGGCACCAGTGTGGCTCAATCAGCTAAGCATCTGCCTTAGCTCCGGTCATGATGGGGGGGGGGAGGCTCTGCTCAGCAGAGAGCCTACTTCTCCCTCTTCCCTGCTTATGCTCTCTCTCACTATCTGTCTTCTCTCATATATATAAACAAAATCTTAAAAAAAAATAAAATGACCACACTGGAAGAATGCTCAGATTCAGCTGTGCATGTGGCCAAAGACATAGTGTCAGGGGACACCCTGTTCAAATCACAAATATTTCTCTTTCAATACCCATGAAAACCCTCAAAGAAACCAGAAAAAAATAAGACGTTGTAGAGTGGATCTGTGGAATGGAGAAATAATCCAACCTGGTGAGACACCCTTGACCAGGGCTATACCCCAAGTCTTACCAAGCTGGGGGTGGGGGGGGAGAGGGGAGAGAGAGAACACAGCATACTGTAGAAATCCTGTAATAAGCCAAGACACTCTATGATCTACACAAAGGTTAAATAGTTGTTTTAGATACCTTGTTCAACTCTATCAAGTCTCTCAAATACAACCTCTCTATTCTCCAATGCTCAGAAGTTTTCACTCTTACATAAGATAAGACATACATTTATACTTAATGAATACAAACACAAAAAACAAAAAACAACTGAGCCCTCTGAACTAGGTCATCTTTTCAGAGAAAAGAGGCTCAGGCCATAGTCTAATTTGAAATGCTGGTCCCATCTGCAAACCCCACAAGAGCTGCAGTTAGTATTAATTAAGAGCAAAAACAAGTTTGTTCTTGAACATCATTTCTCCCAAACAAGTCCAGGATGCTTCCAAATGGAAATCTGCCAATTTTCCTGTGGTTGAGATAGTAGATCCAGTACAGAAAAATGTGATTTTTTTTTTTTAATGCCACTATCTGTCCAACCCTTAAAGCAGGATTCTCACATCCTTTCAGAGGGAGGTTTCAGTCACCATCACTCAACAAAAGATAAAAACAGTTCTAACAGGACTCACTTAAGTGCCACCCATGCGTGTGTGTGCATAAGCTTATACATATGTGTGCGTGCACACGCACGGAAAAGTTCATATTCCTTATGACAGAGTGTAGGACCCACCTCCTGGCAATCTATGAGAACTCTCCCTTCTATTTACTCATGCAATGTACTAAGGAAAACCAAAGAGAACCAACGATTTGGATGTGGGTTTTCAAATAAAGTGATTAAGTCTCAGTCTGCACTGCTCAAGGCCAACGGGTGACAGCTATCAGGAGGCTAGTCTCAGGTCCACAGTAAATGCAGACTTTTACTTTAAATCAAAGCTAATTACACAGAATGGACTCAACTGCTGGCAGCTGTCTTCTGGATAGAAGACAGAATTTGTGACTGACGCCTTCAACACAGACTTGCTGAACTCTTTTTATGCATTAAGTACTTTGCCATCCATATTCCTGACCTTGAAGTCTCTTCAGTGGGAACTGGACCACGGTGAAGGCAGGAGAGACAACAAGGGGCACATGGTTATCTTGAATATCGCTACAGCCCCCAGTACCTTGAACAGTCTGACATACAGCAGGTGCTCAGTAAATATCTACTGGATGAATCAGACAGACATTTGCTGTCCCGCATTATTAACTGTATGTGATAGCAGCAACAGAACCAACAAGCTATGTGAGCTACGCCAGGGCCAGTGAGGGTGAACTTCCTAGAAGCAGTGAGTAAGTAGCCCTTCCCTGGATGAGCAGCTTTTCAGCAGGCAATGGCTGCAGGAAGGCCATGTGGACAGGAGCATGCTGGAATCAAGGCTGGAGCAGATGGCTTGAGGTACTTTCCAACTCAAATTGCCATCAACCTTCTATTTCCTGGGGTTTTATTGTGTTTCATCATCTCCTTCAAACTTGCAACTTTAATATATAGGTACATAGAGAGGGGCGGTTGTGTTTCTCTACCAGAAAATTAGTTAAAGGCAAACAGCAGGTAACAGAAAAATACATACTGTGGAATGTTTTATTTACCAAGCAATGAACCTGTAAGACTCTTAGAACCTTCTGCAAGAAAAATCATCTAAGAACACCCTCCAAGTCCACCAGAAACAAGCCACTTTGAAAACAAATTGCTGCCCTCCGCTTTCCTTGTCTTTCGCTGATCAAGCTTTTAAATTGGCTTATGCAAAAACTGCTAGGTTCCCAAGAGAAAAAGAAAATCTAAACATTTCACAACCGCATCTTACTGCAGGGAGAAATTCTGGGAGAACACGAAGGCATGTGAAAGAGAACAGAAACTAAAACCCAAAATCCAAGGAAAATTAAAATGAAAAAAAAAAATTAAGAATAAGGGAAAACAGCAACTGGAAAGTTTTCTACACCTCTAAGAAAGTTCAGAAGTAAGCCACTTCCCTTCACATTCTCTTTAAAAAATGGAAGGGCCCCTAACCCAGTCTGGGATGGACAGGGTGAAGTCCTTCACCCCAGAAGTAAAGCAGTCCCCAAGTCAGGTATAGTAGAGAATGCTAAGAAATTGGCTCGAAGCCACTGCCCAGTTTCCTCCCCTCACCCAGCCTCTGGCTCCCTGCGCTGAGAAGCCAGGAGCCAATCACAAACCCCTCCGGCTGAGAGCCAGCCTTCCCTCCTCTCCCACCGCTCTTCCTCCAAACTGCATTCCAAAACAAAAAGAATAAAATGCATTTAAATGCAGCGTTAAAGTTAAACTACACCCAACAGCGGTTAAGAAAGCCAGGGTGTGCAACCTGGTACAGAGAACTCTGGGGATGGGGGGGGGGGGGGATGGGAGGCCGGGCCTTTTTGCGAATCAAAATAAAATCTGGCTTTTGCAATAACTGAAGAGATAATGAATAAAACTCTGCCTTTGAGTTATTTCTTAATTCCTCGCTTTGAGGCTGTTTTCCAGCACCATCCTCCGCCCCACCTCTTCAAACTGATCTGTACTTGTGTGATGAGGCTCTCTGGATAATTAGCCCACAGATGGGCAGTAACCACCACGGACGCCGCTGAGGCCGGGAGCGAAGGTAGAGCACGCCGCCTGCAACCAACAAGTTTTCATAAAGCAGTTGCCAACTGTGAGCATGTGCATCCCAGGAGGGTTCCGTACCAGCAGCGCAAAGGCCACCTCGAGCCTTTCCGTGCCAAGTCATCAGCAGCTGGGGCGGACGCGCGGTGGCAGGAGAGGGGTGAGGGGCCCCCCCGGACACCCCACACCGACCACGCCAGCCAAGGGAGGCATTCTCAAGAAGCCATTTCCAGGGGGAGCGGGACTGACGTGTAGTTATCGGACCGAGTCTCCCGCTACGTGGTCTCCTAACGGCCAGGCCCGGGCCTGGGAGGGAGGGAGGGCTGCTGGGGAGGGTTTACCTTAGAAGGCGGCCGCGGACAGACAGGCCTTTCGCAGCCAGCGGGGCTCGGCGCGGAGGCCCCGGGCGGTGCGGAGGGCGCCCCGCGGCGCCACAGGTTCCCCGGCGCGCGGCGGGACCCGACTCCCACAGGTGGGCGACGCGCGGGGGGCGCCCCGGGGGCGCGGGGACGTGTGGGCGGAGAGCGGAAAGCTCGGGGTTTTCGGCTACCCTCCACTGGGTGGCTACCGGCTTTCCCCCAGGACGGGAGGGGCCGCGAGCACCCCCCAGCCGCCTCCGGGAGAGCCCCGGCCTCCTCCGGGGGCGCGGTTAAGCCGCACGGCCGCGGGCCACCGTTTGCATGCTCGCAGGCACGTAGGAGCCTGCACGACCGCACGCGGGCGGGGGAAGGGCGCCCGGGCACCGAGGCCACCCGGCCCGCCCCATCCCGCTAGGGCTCGCCCCCGCGCCCCGCGCCCCGCACCCCTGCACCCCGCACCCCTCACCGGTGTTGGCTCGGATGTTCTCCCGCAGGAAGTGGCCGCTGGAGAGATGCTGGAGGCCAAAGCTCTGAGCGATCCTCTGGCACACGGTGCCCTTGCCCGAGCCGGGCGGCCCGAGGATGACCGCGCGCAGGAGTTTGGAAGCCATTGCCTCGGCCAGGCGGGGGGGGGGGGGGGGGCCGACCAGGCAGCCCGGACAGCAGCCTGCGAGAAGCCCCGGGAACTTTGCCGCCGCCGCCGCCGCCACTCTCCGCTCGCGCGGGGACTCGCCGGGCGCCCCTGCTGGGGGAAGGAGCGACTTCTGAGCCAACCCCTCCCTTCAGCCCCGCGCCGGGGCCGGCTCGAAGGCGGAGAAAGGCGCCACGCTACCCATCCCCGCCCTCCTCGCCCCCACGCCGCGCTTCAGCGAGTCCCGAGGCCCCGCCCCCGGAGGGGTCGACCCCGGCAGCTCCGAGGGCCGCCCGGCCGGGCCCACCCCGGTGCCTTCCTCTTGGGCTCCGCGCGCGGCGCTCGAGGCAGGGGCCGGGCGGCCTGGCATCCCCGCGCCGCTCCCCGCCGCAGCCGGCGGCCTAGGGGCCGAGCCCTCGCACGTGGGCAGCGCGGAGTCCGCGCCCCCCGCCCCTCCCGCCCCCGCCCCCGCCGCGCGGGCCGCGCAGCGCCACCTCCGCCGAGCGAGGACCGGCTCGCCCCCCGCCGCGAGCAGCCCGCGTCCGGCGCCTCCCCAGCCCGGATCCCGCTGGGCGGCGCCGCCTCCGCCCGCCCCCACTCGGAGCCCCAGCCGGCCGCGCGGGACCAGCGCCTTACGTAAGCCGCCGAGACCCGCTCCGCGCGAGGCGCCCCCTCCCCTGCCCGCCGCGCGGCCCAGCCCCCCCCCCGCGCCCCTTCTCTGGCCGTCGCCTGGGCACCCCGTCTACTGTCAACGGGGACGAAAAATACAACTTGTTGAGCGCCCGCTGTGCGTTCGAGCTCCGCGATTTCCTTATGCAACGACCGTTCCAGATAGAGGATCCACAGATGAGGAAAGGAGGCTTGGCGCATCGCCGCTCGTTCAACAGATGTCTCTTGAGCGCCTACCAGGCTCCAGACACTGTGTTAGGCGCTTGGCATGTAGCCCGGAGCCAGAGAGGTGGGATCTGGCCCCACTGCAATATACAGTCCAGCCGGAGTTTGGAACCCTCACTTCCGAAGCCCAAGCTCCTTGGGGAAAAAAGGAAGGAGACGATGATCACTGTCTGTGCTCAGGTTCTTAGAGCCAACTGATTTCAGGACCTCGGGGACCAGGATGTTGACACTACAGTTAATTCACCGACTCCAAAGGGTGCTCTCCTCCCTTCCCTTCCCTTCCCGTCCCACTCCATATTTTCTTAAATCTGTTCCTATCCCTTACCCCCCCACCCCCCCCCCACACACACACACACAGGCAGCCTTCATTTCCCGCTTGGACTAGTGTGATAACGGCCACCCCGTAAGTCTCTAGTCCATTCTCAGTGCAGTGCATTGCCAGAAACATTGCTATAGTGCAAATCAATTACTGTTATTTCCAAGCCTCTGATAAAAATCGTCCCTTTAGGTTAAAAAATCTTCAGCTTTCTATACACCTTTGCAAACCCCGCCCCCCAGACACCTACCTTTGGGGAAATCCCTTGCAGGATTTTGAGTGCAACCACAAATGGGGAGGGACAGCATGGAGAAGAGCCTCCTCTAGAGGCCTGGCTCTACTGTCTGTGTTGGGGCACTGAGTGGGCCTGGCAGGGTATTCCTTTCTCTGTCTCCCTGGTACCCCCAACCCCTCTCGTCCAATACCCCCTCCATAGACAGCCAGGCAGCCAATGCCTAGTCTACAGCTACCTGGAGCACACCCAGCCCACCAACCTCAGCCCAGCATTTGTTCCAAGGTCACATCGCTTGTCTAAAATATCTTGGAGTTTGCTGTAGACATCAGGAGGCTGTTACACTGAGCCCCTTGAGCCCTTCACCTGGGAACAGAGAGAAGAGCTTCTGGGGAGGTGGGAGTGACTTAAATCTCCCCTCTCTTTCACTCCATATGCTGTAAAAATATATAGCAGATACTTTGCAGTCCTCAGAACTGAGTATGCATCAGAAATATCTCAGAGGGCTTGTGAAAACAGGTTTGCTGAACCCCCCCCCCACACACACACACACCCTGCCCCACAATTTCTGAATAGGTGGGGCTGAGGTGGGCATTTCTAACAAGATCCTATTTAATGCTGAGGCTGCTGATCTGGAAATCAGAACTTGAAAAGCGTGGTTTCCATACCCTGAAAATCGCTACTCTACTGCATTGAGCATTGAGACATGGGAGATGTGTAACCTCATTCCTGTGTTGGCTGTGGGATCTTTGTCCCTTAACCTCTTCTTTTTCTAAAATGAGGACATTGGATTTAGTACTCCCAAAGATCCCTTTGTATCTATCAAACATCAATTCTGTGAGTTTCCACAGGAAATGCGTTTCTAGCCCTCACAAACTGGATGAACTATATCCCACCTTCCCTATCACCCAGTTCTTTTGCCTACTTTTGAAATGCCTTTACCAACATCACCTTATAATATCATGAAGCAGCATTAGCCACTCACATGGTCCTAGGACTTAGTGCTTTAGGAGTTTAGGAGCTTATATTATGAAACAGAAAGAGTTGTGACATAGGTAAACTCAATAAAGAAATCCAGCCGAGATTGGAACCTAGAGCCCTCCATGAGCCTTCCCCCATGCGCAGCCAAATTAGGCTCCCACAGTCCAGCTGTTGATTGAAAGCAGTAGAACTGGAAGAAAGGGGTGTTGGAGTCAAATACCCCTGGGATTAAGTTGCAACAGCACCATTCATGAACTCTGCAGATCTCTTGATCTCTGTGAGCCTTAGTTTGCTGATCTGTAAAAGGGAGATAATACATATCCCTTAGGCTTGTAGGGAGGCTAAAATGAGCTAAGGTACAGATAGGGCATACCACAGTGCTGGGCATATAAGAAGTACTGTCATGAACATCATCACTATTATTAACCATGGGACAATTATTTAGCTTCTCTGATCTCAGTTCCCTAACTGTGAGAAATAAAGGAGCTAATATGGCAAAGTATTTAGCAGATTCCTTGGAAGACACTTCATAAACGGTAGCTATTTTATCACACATACACTCATATAATCAACTTCTTCCTATTTCCTGTGCCTAGGGTTTTAAATCTGTTTATTTATCACAGTGCACAAATTGTATTCATCTTTCTATCCTCAAAAATATACAGAACTTTGCCTGTAATAATGCTCTGTTAAGGGATCCCTGGGTGGCGCAGCGGTTTGGTGCCTGCCTTTGGCCCAGGGCGCGATCCTGGAGACCCGGGATCGAATCCCACGTCGGGCTCCTGGTACATGGAGCCTGCTTCTTCCTCTACCTGTGTCTCTGCCTCTGTGTGTGTGTGTGTGTGTGACTATCATAAATAAATAAAAATTTTTAAAAAAATGCTCTGTTAATGTTGGCAAATCTCCCTCCCCCGCTTACCACAATATCAAGCCCTGGCCTTTCTCTGCAACTTCACTGGATGGTAATATGAAGTCTACATTCGATCACACTTTACACATTCCTTCCTCAGATTCTCTTATCTGGACTGCAGTGCTCTTGTTTAGTAAACTTTCATCATTTCCAAACTGCTTTCACAATTTTGCCATAATCTTGTACCACCTTGGTTTTTATCCACTTATCATGTTTCTTTAATATCAACTCATTTTGTTCAAATAATTTATTTAAAAAAAATGAATGTAACTCACTAGCCATAAATAAAAGGACACACTTAAATACAAGAAAAAATAAGGCTACCAAATTCTAGCTGGAATCTACTAACTGCCTGTTGAGTTTCTGAACTTAATCTTTTTTTAAAAAAGGAGGGGGATGGGTGTTTACCAAGTCATAAAGAGGTGTTTAAGACATATAGCATCTAAATGAAACTTTCTGTTTATCGAGAATCACATAGCTCAAAATACAATTAGAAAGGGAATGCTTTCTTAACATTCAGTTTAATAGTATCCAAGGCCAGATCCATGTGCCACCTAGAATCCTCTCTAGTCCCATGTGAAATTATCTTTTGCATCATCAAGGATGTGTGTCACATACCCTATTGTCCTTAAAAGTAAACCTTTGAAATATTAATCATCAGGATTTTTTAAATGATCTCACACCCCAACCACAGTTCACAGATAGGATACTGATACCACTTCAAAAATTACGACACCATCCCACCCCCGCTGTTCTTCAAGCTATCACTTATTCATCACTATCTTTCTAAAATCATTTCAGGCTTACTCCTGCTATATTTGTTGGAGACTCTAGGCTCCTTGAACATGGCAGCTTCATCCCAGTCATCATGGCCTCCATACAGCTAGGTGTAGAGACCAGACATGAAGAGCAAATATTATTGAACAACCCACTTCCTGCTGAATGAATGAATGAATGAATGGACAAAGTAACTTCTCTTTGCCCTCTGTAAAGCTTCTCTGGACAGACAGAAGAAAGACTAGTTACTTGGGCATGTTGAGATTCCGAAAAGCTGGAAAATGGGAAGAAAGGAGAAGATATCTGGCCCTGTGTGCCTGCTGCCTTCTCCTCCACAGGCACTCATTCAATACTCAAGAAGCCAAAAGGTTGCATTGAGAGAATCAATGGTGAATAAAGGACAAACATGGCATTATTTGTGACAGTAGTGAATTCTTACAAGTGAATGAATCATCCCCCAATTTTACTAGGTGATGTGGTTATTAACCTAAAACATAATCTTGAAAAGAGGCGGCAGTGTGTGTTCCACAAGCCCGCTCTCTCAGACACATACGTGGCCAGGCCGAGCAGTTAAAACAGGAACTGGGATGGATGGAATCGACATTCTTCCTATTTACCTGGTATGACCCATTATTCTCCATGACCAACGGACTATTTACAAATCGCTCCTAGAAAAACAGTCTATAACCGAGGGCCTCTCCCAAGGGATGAAGATGTCAAACTACCACCTTTGGTCTTTTCACTGTGAAATCCTGGAAAGCAGAGTAAATCAGTTATGCTGTCCCCTCCGTATATAACGATACAATGATGATGTCTTGCTCAGAGCTTTGCTCTCTGATTTATACATTTGGCAGCAGACATGGACAAGCCTGTGCCATTCCTCTCTTCGCTCTGTCTTCCTAACCACAATCAATAACAGAGCTCCTTCTAGAAGTTGCCTTGGGGTTGGTAGGCATGTTTGGAGATGAAATGCCTTCGGGTGTGTCTTTCCTCTGTGCTAAATTAATGCATGTTCTTTCTGCTCCAACTGGTAGGAGGGACTGGAAATGAGCCGTGAGTTTATTCTGTGGTGGCGGGGGGGGCAAAGAGGAGTCCACCTGCAGGACCCTTTTAAATTTGATCTTCTGATAAAGGCAGTAAAGAATATATTATACATCACATATAATATTAACTCTTGCAACAGCCCTACATCATAGATGGCCCATGATTGTGTGTCCATTATATAGACCTTAAAACTGAAGCAAGACCGCGGGT